GAGTGCGTTCCGACGAGGAAATTTCAACATTTGATTCCGCGAATTGTGCAAGGAGGCTTAAACATTAAATCGGACATACGAGTCCTAATATTGTAGTACGCTCTAATTCCATAAATGGAGTTTTCGGTTACTTTATTCCACGATTACCCGGAAATAATGCCTAAAGAAATAACGTAAATAATGGATATATTGCCTCATTTGCATTATTACAGAATACCTTGAAACCGGAATGCGTCGAAATAAGTGTCTGAGTTATTTCTAATACATTAAAAATTTACTGTACCTCCAGATTTGTTGAAGAAATTCGTGAAGTCCGATCGGTTGTTCCCTAGTAGATAATACGCATGCAGTACAGTGATCGGAAACTGGCGCTTCGTAATCGGTATTTAATGAAGTGCGGTATTTGGAAACCGTGTCGGGTCAGTTGCCACGTTTCAAAACTCGTTGAACGATCGATGAGAGGTGAACCGAGCTGGAAGCAAGCGTGTTTTTCGTCCGCCCATCCCCGAAGAATTCCCTGCTTTCGCTCGGAAGTGGGGGGTGAAAACCGGGCCGGATGTAAATGACGCTGTTCGCATCATGCAACGAGACCTCGGGTTCGGCGTGCGTGTTTTCCGTGAATACATCAACGCGCGGTCGGCATGCTCAGGCAAGGGCATTGTTGATTCTCTGCAACTCCGTCACCGCAACAGAGACTGCGTTTGGGCTGAAAATCCGTCTCCCTTCTTTTTTTTGCGTGCTTGGAATCAATCTTTCGACCGTGTGCGAGGATCAACGCGTTCGGCCGGATGACTGAATTACGGGATTGTCCTCCCCATCGTCGTCACGGTGTGTGGTTTCCGTGTTTGTGGCTTCACGAGTAAACACACGTAATAAATTAGGGGACGCATTTTGTGCTTTCCACGCGGGAGCTCGATTCATTTCATGCAACAACAAAACCCTGTGTTCATCTCGGGTTTTGTCTTTTATTAAACGGTGCGCGAGGGATGGTGCATGAGTTCAGCATGGAGACCCGGACACTCGCCGTTACCTTGCTCTATTGCCTTCCCGGCAGATTTTCGCAATTTTCATCACACACATTTACTGTAATTACAAGTATTTATTACCTTCAAGATTGAAAACAAAATTGTCTGCGGGTATGAAACGTAATTCTATTGCATGTACTCTAGTGTAGTATTATATTCAGAGGAGTACGTTAGTTATAGTCCTGCTGCTGCTGTTACCGATGTAAGATTCCAGTTCTTGCGCGCTTGAACTTCAAATGGTCGCGACGAGTCATTCAATTAAAGTGCTGAATGGAATTGATTTTTATTTTCAAGGTTTTGTGGGTCAAGTTGAATTATGCACTGCAAATGCGAAACTACTGTACGATGCAATCGAACATAAAACGAATCCCTGCAATTTGTTTCTGTTTTTGTACTGTACTGTATATGGAAAAATGCGTCTTACATTCGAATAAGTGTGGTTTCAGTCTTCCATTCCTCTCTGATGTGTTTTTGAATGACAAGGGAATGCGACTGGAATTTTTATTTTAAAACGTCCCACTCATTTCTTCGTTTTTTTCTCAAAACTTACAGATCATCCCGTTTACGTCACTTTGTACTGTCTGTCTCGCGATTCCCTTTAAAACACATCTTGTAACATCAAGTGGAGTAAATCAGACGTTGACCTCGTTATATTTACCGCTTAATATCGAGAAGATTCCGTCGAGGTTTATCTGAGGCTAGATATGATCGGAAAGTTAATTTGCATTCGTTTGATGCATGAGATTCTCGGAGTTCACGAGAAGCAAGCTACGCTAAAAGTGGAATTGGTAAAAACTTTGAATCCTTGATGTCATGCGTGTAGATGAGAGAGAAGCTTTTCAGAATTTTTCCTTAGCAAGAGCTGTTACGCAGTGTGCATTTTTAGAGATAAGAAATGAGACACGGGATAGATTTTTCACGTGGAATAACCTTTTCGAATCCTTCGGTAATCGTTGTGGGAGTACATGCTCTGTAATTCGATTAGAGGTGAAAATAGGACGAGCAGCGGGTTGCAGTCGCGCTGGCCATTAGCTTTCGTGCAGATGGGGTTTCGACTGTCCTTGTCGCATTATTTCGTGGGCAGATGGGCCACAAAATTTGTCGAACACGGACCTCCGTAACGCATTGCGAGCAGCGCCGATTGCACTCTGAATGAGTGCAATCCTTTGAACCGAGCGTTTTAGCGTGCGAGACGGGAATATGGGGAACGCGGATCCGCCCAAAGATTACCCGAAAACATGGGGGTTTGTGCCTTGTTATTACCTGCGTGCTTGACGGCAATGTCTTCATTAGAAACTGTCTGCCTATAAACCCTTCATGTGGGACCTTGTTTTTCTTCCAGTCGAGTGTGCGCTGGCGCACGCGGGTAGTGTGCAATTATTTCCGTCTCCGGACGGGTTGATGAATCTTTCGGGGTTTTCTCCTGTGCGCGATTCTTGTAGCCAATGAGTTGTTTTTGTTGAACGTGAATTCCTTCCTCCGTCCCCTCTGGAATTTCAGACCGCAGCATGCAAAATTTTTTTTTTCCCGACGGCAACAAAGCATGCACGGTGCGTGTAAAAGATCTTGCTTGGCGATCCGCGTACAGTATTTGTCGAGGAAAGCTTAAACTTCCCCAACTTATCCACGGAAGAGCACTTGTTCAAGCTCTCGCAGTCCAACGTTTTTTTGTATGTTACTGGAAACTGTTTTTCAATTCAACTTTCACTGCCTCACTGCACGTTGGAGTGATTTAACGCAACTAAACCTGATCCCATAACCGTTGTTCGGGATTTATTCTGGCCCTTTTGCTGAGGAAGAATCTTGCTTCTCGTTTGCGAGTATGACGGCTTGTTTCGTGGGACATCGGAATGAACTCTCGAGAGTTATTCCAAAAGGATTTCCAAGTCAGGGAACTTGCTAGAAATGAAAATAAAAATATTGAACTAGCTTGAGAATGGTTGGAATTGTCTGCCTCAAGCAATATATGAACAAGAGTGGGCCTTCTCATCATGGCGCAGGTAATTTTCTTTTAGATTGATTCTTGTGTTCAAAATTCGAATTTGCAAAGGAAAAGTTAGCTTGAATCGTGTATAAATTTGCTTCAAAAACTTTGTTATTTCTTTGGAGGAATAGACCAGCTTCATCTTGAATTAATAGGGAGCCTATGCATTGTTAGTCGCGCTCGCATACCTGTATTCATACTTGAAAAATGTAAGGAAGGAGCTCAAAAGATGCGACGAACTTTTGAATGGGGAATATTGCTCGAGAGAGAGCTATTTTGGAAAGGTTTACAGTATTTTCTTATGCATAGTGCCGTGCTATGCTCAAAAAGCCAAACCATTTCATTCATCACATTACAAGCTCTTAAAGAGGCTCCCGCGATAAATCGTAACGGCCATTTTGTCTGACGATGTTAGATTGAACGTTGCCGAGGAACCGGTTTAATACTCTTTCGAAATTCTAGGTTAAGACGAAAAACCGTGTTTGGAAAGCATCAGGACGGACTAGGCCGTAAATCAGATGCATTATCTACTGGACACCGGCAAAAAGTGCATCAGTAAAGGATTGTTTTGAACGCCGCAGCTTATTATCCGCACAAACGATTCGCGATTAGTTACAACTTGTTGGTTATCTGCCCGATGAATTATTGCCGATCGCGTTGATCTCGCCGCAAGTACCGACCTTCAGAGACTTCGTTGGCATTTACGACTTCCTCGGCCCCGCTCATTTGTGACCGTGCGAACTAGATGTTTCGGTGTGTGTCAAGCTTGGGATGTCAAGATTAACGGACAAAGTGGTTGCGTTTTATGTGGAGCTATCGTTAGATCCCGAATATGTTCATTGATTCTCATTGCATGATGATCTTCTAGGTTCATCTCGTGAGGCTTCGGAATTTCATTGAGACTTGCTTTATTAAAAAAAAATTCAACGCACTGTATAGGATGTATAGGATTCGACCCAAATTATTCTCACGCTTTTTCGGTAAATTCACCGCAGCACGGATACATAATTTTCGTAATGGAGTAAGGATTGCGTGCTGTGTGCTGGAGTTATTCAAGCTTTTTAATTAATTTTGCTCAATTTCTTTTATTAACCACACGCAGACGAAAACTGGACAAGTGTTCTATGAACTTAGCGACAAAGAAGTCGGTACTTTCTTAATTCGAAAAGTTTCAGTACCTCGGCAAGTCATAGAGTCCGTCTCCTTCTCTACAATCTCCCATATCAATCTCTTCATTTTTCCCCTCTTTGTAGAAACACTTTTTGAATGAATTACATGTCGTGCTCCTTTCTTCGAATAATTCAGATCGAAGCTCACGAACTGGATTTCCGACTGAATATCATTCAATCCGCTCGAATTTCAGCCGAAGAACCCTTTTTCATGATATTGATGAAGATCATTGCTCTACGTGATCATGAGATCGGTTCTAATTGTTGCGTTTTATGCGGAGCTATCGTCAGATCCCGAATATTTTATTGATATTCATTGCATGATTATCTTCTGGGTTCAACTCGCAAGGCTTCGGAATTTGGTTGAGACCTGCTTTGAAAAAAAAAAATTCTCAACTCACTGTATTTAAAATAGGATTCGCCCCAGATTATTCTCACGCGTTTTCGGTAATATTCTCACATAAATGCTTCGGGTTCGGATAGTTGTTTTGAAGTGGCTGAATTGAAAGATTCGTCGTCTCACAGTGCGGAATGCAGTTGCTTGGATCATGGAGGAGTTTCGTGGGATCCGTTCACGGCGCGTGTCGGGTGAAAAAGGATGGAAAAGCGAGGAAATCAGCTTTGTTTGCTCAAACCCAAACGCGGTAGATTAAGGCGTGGCAGAACACGCTCTCTCGTTTAACACTATAAGCTTTAGTCGTGATCTTCTCCTGGCAATCCCGGTGGATCGTGCGTAAATCCGACGGGGTATTACGCGCTGCGTGCGAAATGAAGATTGATTCTCATCGCCTGTGCTCATGATGTCGCTTTCGATCGTTGCAGTTCCTCCGGAAGTTCCAAAAATCTACGACAAGAACGGGAGGGAAATGGGATCTGTCATCGGACCGTACTTGGAAGGTGACAACTTGACGCTCATCTGCCGCGGCATTCACGGTGAGTTCTTCTCTACCGCACTTATCTTGGCCAAAAGAGCCATTCGAGTCGACAAACATGGTTTTGCGAGTACTGTACTTGAGCTCATTGTATTTTTCTCGATTTTCCCAAGCGTAAATCAATCAAATGAAAAGGTTTCACATGATATTACCATTCCTCGTGCCCTGCCTCTTGGCTCTATGTAAGGAACGTTAAATGCAGAAGTTTCCGTGTTAGTTCCTCCCGTTTGAATATTTTAGAAGAGGAAAGTGTAAGTGTTGAGAGATCTTAACATACGATCTCTTAAGATTCGAATATGATTACCGAAAATGCTTTGAAATTAAATTGGAATATTTTTTGCGTCCCCGCAAACATTGATGGAAAATTATTTCCCTAGTGCGGTATATCATGCCTGTTCATTTTCCGGACTATTTGTGAATTGTTTCATTACTATTTCAGTGATTTGCTCCAGTTTCGTTGTTATTGAGCAAAAATAAGCATATATTTTTAATTACATCTTACCGATGCAAATGATACGGAATATCCGACGTCTTTGACAATAAATCCGATCATGTTTTCACCGTCTCTGGCGTACAGAATTTGGCGTGGGTAGAGCATCGAATCGGGATTAGTCCTCTTTGTGCCAACTTTAGCCAGGTTTTGCGAAATGGTGCTAATCTTGTGGTTTTTAAATCCTCGCGGAAGAATGTTTCTATTTTGGTATATTTTATTCCCACTCACGTTCAAAGTACCTTATTGGAAAAGTTATTAACGCCAATCCTGGGACTATGAAAATTCTGCGAAGGTGGTTCATAAATTAATAATTATAGTATATGCAAGAGCTATTTCCTTCCAAAACATGCCTAAACGTAATTGGCTGCAAAAAGACATTTTTTCAACAAAGCACCTGAATAATCCACTGCACCTTTAGATAAAATAAATGAAAAATTGTCTCTGTTCGGTACAAAAAGCCGAATAAGGGATTCGAGTACGTGATTTTCAAGGTGCGAGGCCAAGTAAAATTTTCCGAAAATAAAGGTGTCTTGGATGAGCGGACAGTTCCCATTTCTTTTCACAAACGCAAAAATTTAGAATTGTTGTTCTCCGTTCGTTTTTTTTTCGTGTTCACCCGCTACAGCGATTTGTTGTCTCCTGGGTTGTCGCGGTGTTTTTCATTGAGTCGCCTCCCAGCCAACTTGAAAACTCGCAGAGTTGTGCTAATCTAGTTGAAGAAGCACGCAATTGTTGGAATCAAAGGGCCAATTTGGAACTCTGTCCGGGAAACCGGCCCGCGATCCAGAAAAAAATAATAGCTGGTGGGATGGGCAACATTCCCCGAAATCGGGCGAATTTCTGCTTGTGCTATTCACCCCGTCCGTGGAGCAAGCAATTTACTGGTGTCCAAACGTAAAACGAAGTACTGTACAGTGTTCTTTTGTACTCACCCTGATCTAAAATTCTAAACACTGCAGTTTAAGCAGTCTGAAATCAAGGATTTGCACCTGAATACGCCAAGCATGATACGAACATTTCATGAATGTGACTTCAGCAGAATGGTTCCAGGACGTTGATATTTTCTTTTTCCTACGCATATATAAGCTTTTCCAGTTGATGGCTGTCGCCAACTGGAGCATAAACAGGTTTATTATTCAAAGCAGCTTTCCATTTTCAGAAAAGAAATACCTTTTTACGTACGAATCGATAGCCTTGAGAGAATACTGTAGTAATGGTCCATTTGTTGACGGGTGCTTATGCGAAGAATTAATTTTTTGCTATGCGCTTGACAAGGACTTTCGATTTAATTAAAAATTGAAGCTCATTTTGCGTTTGCGAATCAATTTGCGAGTTAATTGTTTTCTCGGGTTAGTTTTACATTTGGGGCTTACCTTCGAAGCACTCTCCAACTAATTGCGAACGTTCGTGCCGGGGCTCTTATATAAAGATTGATCCTGTCGCAGGCGCATTCCTCCTTTTGCCTTGCGTGTACGTTATCTTCCAGTCGAATTGCGCCAATTTCGCGCACACCACTGCATGATGTGAGAGATAAACGTACTGGAAAGGTCTTTTTTTGCTTGTGGGCTGTTTGGAACAATCGTCGGTCTGGATATCACTCGATGGGGTCGGTGCTACTTATCTGAACGCGAGCCGATGGGGATCCAAAAGACCCTCGACAGAAAGCGATTTGGGGGCGGGTGGCAAAACAAAGCTTACGTGACGACGGGAACTGGATTAGCCTAGACGCGAGAATTTCTCCGAAAAGGGGTGGAAGACGAACGGGAACACTCTGTGTACCATGGAAGAGACTCGTGGAGAGAAGAAGCCAAACGTAGCCGAGCGTTTTGGTCCCTTAAACCCTCATCTTTTATTCAACGCCCGGACTGCCACCGGTTCCGACATATCAATGCTATTGTCACTTTGCATTTCATTTTCCCGCTCTTCCTCGTTTAGCCGTTTTCATCGCTTTCTTGAAGTAATATTGGTGTCGAGGGGACAAATGTTCGTCCCTGCAGCCCGTTGGTGTGGACATTGGGACGGTGAGAATAGAAGGTTCCTCCTCCTGTCGGCTTTGACCTCTTTCACCACGACAGACATTCCGCTTTTCTGAAGATCATTGTCCTTCAGTACCATTCTTTCGACAACACCGACGTTTCCTGAACGACTAACCTTTCACGAAATATACCTCTCAACGGCTCACGTCATCTTTTTATAGCTTTTATCCAGTTCTGCGGACTCAATTAGATTTCCTGATGCGACGATTCAGCATTATTTTGCGCGATCGCAGCCATTCAGAATCGAATGAAAGATGGGGTATTTTTCGTGCGCTCGTCGGCGGCGTTAATCCTCGGAGATAACATTTCTTCCACGGGATTCCTGCGGGAGCTCATGCGACGCGATCAAAAATTTCGGGGACATAGCTTGATGAGATCAGCGTCGTTTTTCCTTTTCTTTCTCTCGCTTGAATTATTCTTCCGCCGGCAGCTTTGGGCAGTCGGGGTCCCGAGAGAACCGCCGGTCCTCGTGTCTCAGTGCAGAATAACGAAAAAAGAGGGGCTTCTCGGCCGAATTTTCTCATGAATATTTGAATCTTCTCAACCGGGATGGAGCCTTTCTTCTCTGCCTCCTGGCGGTTGGACCCAAAACTAGAAAGGGGCTACACGCACGAGCCGAATCTCCTGATGAGCTGCATTGCTCTTTTGGAGACAGACATGTATTCAGCGAATGCTCATCCGTGCTCCCTTCATATACGTATCCTTCTCGAATACATCTTGCATGTCTCTCGTGACCCCCGCGCGATTCTTTTCGTCCTCTCTGAGCACGTGATACTCTTAACATAATTCAGCGATCAATGCAACGTATGCACTCCTTCCTCGGCATTCTTACAGTAATAATTATTCTGAAGATTATGTCTCTTCTGCTAAGTCTAAGATTTAGGTTTAGGGGTACGCCTACGGATGGTGGTATGGGGGCACCCGGCAGGTAGAGATTTTCCTGGAATCAAAGATTATCTCGCCATCAGAGCTAAAGAAAAAAAAATTTGTCGTCTTCTGGAATCTTGCATCCCTTTCAAAACAACGGTTAGGGCTTTTTAATGTAAAAAAAAATTAATACAGTAGCTGGTTTTACCGCAGCGTTTTAATTAGTGGCACTTGGCTTTCTATCTACAGTACACCAATGCTGTCATGTCTACAACATGATGGGATCATCAAAAGGTTGAAACCCCCTGATTTGGATGAGTCGTTGTTTATTATGTATCACTTCTGAAAACTATTTTGTAGAGTTGAAGAAAAGGATGTTTCAATCTTCTCATTTCCTTCATAATTTTAGATTTTGAATCGTGCTTGAATCAATTGTTTGGCCGAGATAATCCAGACTACAGATCTATGTTATGCAAGAATTTTTTCCGCGAGAGGGGTAGAAAGAAAATTAGCTGTCGGATAGCCTGGTTAATCCGAGCGAACAGCAGCCGCCTGGCTCATTATGCACCTATTTGCATCCCTCCATTAGTTCCGGGATAAACAAACTGTAGAAACAGAAGATAACTGTTCTCCGAGACGAATGGGAATTGCGATGCCCGTCCGATTTTAATTAACCCGAACTTTCCCATGCGACTTTTACCTCCGGAGGCTAACAACGTATTCCGAGCCTCGGGCAATCGCTGACTTCTTGACGACGTAACGGGCGTTAACGATTCTCCAGAGTAATCTGCGTGTCTGCAAATTTTCACGATTAGTAGGAAACTGAAAGATGAGAAGACTTTTTGATCAAGACAACATTCATCTTTCCAATACTGTATCACAGATTTGAAAATAAATCACACCAGATATGTATACATATGTTTCTCCGCAATATAAATGGGGTTTTTGTATCCCGCAGATGAAATCGTTTCTTGAAATTGCACGTTAATCTCTATATCAATTTGTCATGCATGCGAATGCATCATATTTTTTCTGTACAATTTTGCGGAAGTCCGAGGTGCGGTCCAATACTTATGTCAATACCGTAACTTGAAATAAAGCTCTTCTGGCACATCATTCTTTTGCGTGAAGATCCTTTGCACCCCCGTGGTATCAATAACAAGAAGTATTGCAAGCCTGGGCTTATGTGAAAAGTATTTTCTTGCACCCCTGACTTATCAACTTGCTAACCAATGATTGTCCTGTAAGCTGCAGATTCAGCAAATTAAACATATACATTATAGGCATCAAGAGGTTGATACATGGAAGCATGATTATCAGATTTGAGCCATTGTCGCTGAAAATATTCTTTTTTGCATTTACGATTTTCATATTTCTTGAACTGCCTTTGGCAAGTAAACTACAGTACTGTATTTCCTCATAATGATGAGGTGCACTTAAAGCTCTCTGGCTTCCATCCATTCCAGCAGGGGTAAGAAAAATTGAAACAAGGGATAGGAAGTGATCATACATCACTCGAACTTCGTAGAAATTATGATTATTTCCACTCAGCCAACCAGACCCCAAAAAGGAAAGTCCGAGACGGACATTACTCAACCAACTTTTGTAGCTGCGATTTGCTGAAGAAGACCAGAGATGCACGTGCTACCCAATCTTGATCGAGTGGAGTTTTCCCTCCGAGATTCACTCCTTTAGTTTGGGTGTCTCAGAAAGGCTTACTTAGAACGTGGTCAGGGGGTTGGAATCGAATTTAATTTTGTAATCTTATATCTTTGAAAGCAGCAGAAAAAATAGGATCCCAGGCTTTCGGTGAAAGGATGTGTGCTCTCAGCTAAAGTCTTCTGCCCCTGGTGTCGAGATTCACCTCTCGTGAAAGATCGAAGACACGCTTCTTGCTTTCTATAGAGAAGAGGTGGGGAGGCTGCGATATTCCGCATGTTTGCAGCATGCGGAGACGGGATGCTAAGGGGTAAAGCGAAGCGGCCCAAAGCTGTGATTTCCCTTATCGTATCCGCAAACCGCTCAGGACGGTCTCAAAGGTCAAAGACGGCGTGGTCCACGGCATCAGTATGGCCTGAGGAAGGCATTGATTATACAATCTGTGATGGATTATCCGCGATTATACGCGTAGCATTATGTTGTGATCGATGCGTCCGCGACGTCTTTCCGCACCGTTTTTCTTCCCCTCCCGCGCTTGTTATCATTCTAGCGCCTAGCTTTCTTTTTTTTTTTTTTCGACCCGGGGTCGCGAGCTGTGAATGAGTTCTGCGGGAATTCGGTTCGAACTAGTGTTCTAGTCTGGATGCAGCGCCGTTCATTTGACGGCGAGGAAATCGCGGTCTGAGATGAGGCACGCTTGATGGAGCGTCTTGTACCCGGACGCGACGTTGCCGTCTGTCTCTGACGTCTTCATGAAGGCCATCCAGCGGTGAACCCCCGTCGATTGTGAGAACCCGTGATTCAGGAGAAAGCAGCACATTATTCGGGCGAATACCGGGACTCGAGGGGTTCTAGGGGTAAATAAGAGACACTTCCAGCGAAATTCCCTCACTAAAACTTAGCAGTCAGCACATCTGATTCGGCCTCGCGAAAACAATTCGACACGAACGTTCGCGGTGAGAATCTGAACCCGAGTTGCTAGCCGTTTTCAACTTGAGAAGTTTTATTTTCATTTTTATAAATACTATTTCTAGGGCGGAACCTTCCAGTAAAAATAGATGTGGTGGACCCCTCGTTACTTTTTTGCCTTGCAAAATATTTTTGGCTGTAAAGAAATATAAACTTTCGTTTTTATGATCTTCACCTTGAATGTTTTCACCTGATGCCGCCAAGTGGAGATATCAAAACACCGCGGAGCAAAGATAAAGAAAATCTGATGTAAAATTCGGAACCCTTCGCTTATAAAAGAGTATCGCTCAAAAACTGAGTCGCGATTCCTGAAGAACTTGTTCTACCAGGTGCTCACTCGATGTTGCGATCGTATTTTTCTCAAATTCGCTTAATCTTCTGTCGGATTATTTACGTTTCCGAAAAAGCAAAAAAACGCAGTCGTTTTTCCATCGTCTTACTTTGTCGACTAAGGGTGTGTCCAAATACTGCAATTGATGCATCAAAATACTGTAAGAAATGGAAAATTATTTGGGAATACGCTCGATACATTTTATTATTCCGTAAAATATTTTTGATGTTTTGGAATATAAATTTCATCTGTCAGTTTTGTTTACTGTTGTGGTGAGTGGGGGGGAAATACTGATGATGCTCTTCATTATTTTGCTCGTCATTCTCCGTAAACCGGGGTTTGAGCAATCGTAGCACATTCAGAATTTTGGCAGTGAAGGCTGGAAAGCTTGCATTATGCAAACTGACTTTTCATAGCTGTGTGGAAACCTGAAATTTGGGTGAAAAGCTTATGCTATTCAAGCTGACTTGTGGAAACCTGAAATTTTGGGTGACAAGCGCGAGATGCCCGTCTGGACATGTGCTTCTCGAATCCTGTTCAGCGAGAGTTGAAAAGCGCCGAGATCGGATTCGCACCGATAACGAAGCGAAAACTCAACGCGCCTTTTTTTTTCATCAACAGGCCGACCTCCGCCAAAATTAATATGGTTCCACGAGGAGGCATTGTTGGACTCGACGTACACGGTGCACGAGAGGAACGGCACTGTGGAAAATGTCCTGGAAGTTACCCATCTGAAGCGAAACGACTTGAACACGACCTTCTCCTGCCAAGCCTCGAACAATGACGTCACGGACGCCGTATCAAATCCGGTCAGGCTCAGCATGAATTGTGAGTATTTTTCTCGCACGTCTTTTCCCGCATATTCTCCCATTTTCTTTGCTTTGCGAATTATCAGGAAGAAGGGGTTATCTGTGAAATTTTCATCGCTGGCAAAGAGCAAACTTTGGCTCTGCAAAGCTATCAACCTACTTGACGAGACTGTTGGCGGACACTGATTTATATCCTCTGTTTTAATGCAGTAAGGGTGGGGTCTGAATGATGTACTCCGTGCAATCCACATTTATAGAAGCCCTTTCTTAGCGTCCTGAAAGCCTCAGTGCAAATAGCTGTTCTGATATTCCGAGAAATCGGCCGTTTCTCATAATTCTCCTTCTCTGAGGCACAAGTATGATGATCATCGCCTTAATTTCAGCGAAACAAGCGTCCTTGATTATCTCTGCTGGTGGCTTCGTGCATACTATGGTTCTAGATTCTACTCCCGCCGAGATCATTGCGGCGATTCCTTGAGATAATGCTCGTCTGCGTTAGTTATTCTTGAAGGCACCCGACGAAGTACTCGTCGGTGATAATGACACAACCTGGTTTTGGAATGTAAGTCATTTGATGCATCAACGAAAGAGGACCTCATTTTTTTCTAGTTCTTTTTTTATTTGTGGCGTGTATCTTTTAAAGATAGCATTTTTCCTGACCGTTGGCCGGAAAGGTATGCACCGGTTCAGTAGCGACTGTTCCTGAAAGCGATTTCGCTTATCGCTCGAAAAACTATACCATGTTAATTGCTAACTTCTGCGTCGATCTACTTTATCCATTGGTGTGTAATACAGCTGCATGCCAACCCAGTAGGATGAATAATTATTTTAGAATGCGGAGGGTCATTGGTGTCGCCTTTGGTCTGGAATGAACGAAACGCGATCGTATCCTTGTACGATCGCATTGTAACTTCTGTCTGACTATGCTGAGAAAATAAATTCGGGTGCCTATACAGAGCTTAAATTAAAGTCCGCAAGTATGTCGGAGGATGAATGTTTTACGATAAATTCGTTATGGACGATTGACCTTGATGCTGCTCCAAGATTCTTTACATCTTTTCTGGAATTCTGAAGTTTTACACCGAAAAGTTTCGGGGATCCCGAATCCCTCATCTCCGATTTTCAGCCGTGAGTGGGACGAACTGTAATTAGTTCCTGGCCGTATGGGTTTGGAAGCCATATAAAATTAGGAACTTCTTTCAGCAACGTCAGTCCTTTCTAATCTTCAATCCGGCAAAAAAATATGAGTTAGAACAAATGTGCTGAGTTACACAAAGGATCGTTTGAGGCTGTGAGGTAATGTATTGTAATTAGGAACTAGCTCGAGTCGATGAATGTTTTGCCTACATTTTAAGCTTCATTCTTTCCATAAAAAAGTGAAATACTTGCTAGAACGATTTAGAAAAAAATCTGGGGAATGACCATGTCGTGACTTGTTGCCCTTGCCTGAGCTTATTTCATGAGTTACCAAGAAAAATATCTAGAATTTACGCGGTTCGAGGCCATTTACCTGCGGCATCGTCAATACATTCTTCAGGGAAAATTTCCTGAAGCAACATTGAAGCAACTGCAAGCTAGTGATTAAGTAATTTGACCCCAGTTGTTCGCTGGACTTGAGCCATTAGTCAAATCTCTGCAATGTCTTCATTTGTGGGAGAAAATAATGCTCCTGCGTTTGCAAGGAGGAGCAGTGGTACCGGGCTCGGCTACGAAACTCAGTTTAATTACTTCGGGTTATTAGGTTATTATGCAGCAACAGCTGTAATTGCCTCGACGGCGCCACTGTTAATAGGTGCTGGGACGTGTCGCGGTTTGTGGCGGCGAGAGCCGACGAGATCCTCCCCTCTAATTGCACTTTTCTGAAGAGTAATACTCAGTCGTAAATGAATGGATTATTGATTACCTGTTGTCTTTTTTCAACTTTTTGATAATCATCGAACAATCCTTTCTCAGGTATTCATTAAATTACGACATTTGATTTTCTGCCATGGGAATTAAACTCGTCAAGACGGAAGCGTCCAGGCGCCAAGTTGTACTGCAGCATGAAAATGAATTTCGTTCATCTTATCCGAATGTCTTCAACAGCGCTCGGAAGCATTCCTCTCAAAAATTGAATACGTGAAATGTTAATATTGCAAATAAAAAATACAGTGCTACATTCCGAATTTTATTCCTTAAGTGAATAAACGATATACGATATTTCCCAGGAAGCGTTTTCGAACGTTCTAAAAGGATTTTTGGGGCTAAAAATTAGATGCCTCTCTGAAGTTTGCGTTGGACTGGATACTAAATGTCGAGAGTGTTTCGTGATCGGTCGAACTGAAACGTGAGAATAATTGGGATTGTAACAACGGAAAATGAATTCAAATTTCTCGAATATAACCACTGAGAAAATCGAGTTCAATGATTGATCCAAAAAAAAACTGCGGATGTAGGGAAAGCGATCGTCTGGAGCCATCATCGCGAGAAAAAGTTCCCGAACCAAATTCCTCTCGATCGATGTTTGTTATGAACGTCGTGCAGCATGAACGATAGAAAGCTATGTCGGCTTTCATTCAGGTCGCAGGCAGGCGTGAACTTCATTGGAATCGAGGTCTTCAACCAACAACCAACACCCACGCCTCTCAAGTGCCCTGTTCGCAAAAAAATAATAATAAAATGATTCGCCGAAAAATTTCCCTCTCGAAGCGCGAGTGAAATATTGTAGTCAGAAGTGATAACAATTTTGTATCCGCATTCGAGAAATGTCCGGATGGCGCAGATCTCTGAGGTTTCAAAAACTCATGCTGTCATGGTTCGTATCATGTGCGCAGCAGGCATTGAAAGCCCCGTTCATCTACGTTGATGTACCGGGCTGTAGTACAGTACTAACTTTCGTCAAATTTATCGTTCAGCAGTTGCACAACCTTCGGAACTGCTGGTTATTACTTCAGATGTCCGGAAAACTTATATGCGATGAGAAAATTATACTGATGATAAAGATTTACGTATGGTATTGTCCTTCGACTTTTCAACCTCTTTGCGAATTTTACCACTTTGAATATAGATCAGTGCTATAGATCGTACCGTCTCGCGCTCTTGGGCAATTACGGTACAATACCACATCACTTCTTTGGCATCGAAGTCTTAACTTTATCTGAAGGCTTGTCCTTCAATTGAATTAAAGGCTTATTAATTGAGATGTACCTCATATTTAACTCTTCGAAGGCTTCATATTCTGAATAATTCATTCACTCATTCTCTCCCGGGGCTGATTTCAACTTTTCAAGCTGAAATACCTGCGGGCAAAAAGTTTCCCGTTTCAAATGCTATGACAATTAATGAAAAGACTTGGTTTCTTTTCATTAAAATTCGGTGCACCACCCAACCAGACCCACGTACTACCAATATTAGTAGTGCTTCTGGTCAAGAAGCTTTGACATATATCTTTTACTAATGTTCTAATTTGTGATTTATTCAATTTTTGCTCGCTAGCACGTGTTATAAAATGTCTGTCAATATCTGTCGTTTGAGAACCTTCGATGCCGTACGTGAAAATACTGGATTATCATGGAAATTTCGGTTTATGTAATGGGCGGGCCAAAAAATGGATAGATTTTTGAACGTATCTTCTCAACTGCGCTGCCTATTAGGTCGAAAGAAGCCTAGTATAAGATCTTTCAGTTTTCGTTCGAAGTACAGTATGTCGTGCTAAGGTTCTCCTAGCTAAGGAAACCTCATGATGAATCGCAAGCAGTCTACCCGGCAACACTTCAGCTGTTCATGATGATACTGCATATTTTTTCAGTTGTCGTGATATTTTTTTAATTGCTAAACATCGTTCCAGAGATTTTCTTACTCAAAAGTACCGCAAAGGTCTACCCGTGAATGCGTTATTTTATTGCGCGGTAAGTGTTGTGCACCCTGTTCTTTTTATTCAGAGATTATGCACCTTGCCGTGACAGGATCTGTAAATTCAATGGCCTAAGGAGCTTCTAACTGGATTCCATCCGATTTTCATTTCAACGAAATATAATCGATTTTCTGGGCATTAGGCTGGAGAAACTATGCTGTAGTTATATTGTACCGAAATGGAGCAACGCAGGCGTCGAGCGGATCGAGATTGCCGATCTGAGTTTTACCGCTCGTTTATCGCTTCCTGGCTCGAACCAAATTAGAGTTCGCTCGTGATGTTGAAGAGCCGTCGGCGATTGCGAGATAGAGCGGTGCAAATTTCGATTTCCCACTGACCTATAACAGGAACACAAAGCAATACGAGTTTACGGCACGCTGCGCTTCAGACTTGCTTTCGTCGGATTGCGCAACTCAGTGAAGCTGAGCGCGTACATCAAACCTCGGAAATGGAGGTTTTGCGTTCGTGCGATGGTCTTGTTCTCGTGCTTTCTGGCGCATAAAAGCCTCTTAAGATTCTCCATCAAAAGCGGAAACTGCGATAAATTCCTAAAGGTGCAAAACCCAGGATTCCGAACGGCTGAGCACTGAAATTCCGCGGAAACTTTCAGTGAAAGGGGTCCGCTTCATGTTTTTTTTTTTTCGGAGGGTGAAAACAAGCGGCGAAATGTTGGCACTGCTAGAACTGCTGTTGGATCCCGTCTACGTAATTGGGCTTCACCCCTAGAGCGAGGTTGCAAGACCGACGTTCCGGCTGTTTAATGATACATCGCGCTAAGAGGGTGTGTGCAAGATACATGAGAAGTACCATGTTGTATCACGGCACGTGTGGAGCTTCAGCCCCGCGTTTCTCGCCATGCAAGAGTTTATCAGAAATGAAAATCCAGCTTTGGATGTTGCTAACCGGAATTTTCCTGAAGACAATCCGACGGCATTATCCCTGCTGGATGTCGCTCAGTGAAAGGCGGCTGTCTCGCGCATTTCAGCGCCGCTTTCGCGGCCTTGACATTGTATTGTACTGTATATGTGCTTGTCCGTTTTGGTTTCATCCTGTCTGTCACCTGCCTGAAAACTAGCTTATACCTACATTATTAACTTCCATTCTGCTTCCATTTTGGTTGCATAAGC